GCTGATTTATAAAACATGCAGTGAGTACTCCTAGGGGAGTTACCTTGTGAGGGAATGCCAATTGACTTCATGCGACATCCCGACTATTCCAATTGCCTTCACATCAGTAAGAGGGCTCAAATCTTGACACACCCTCAGGCAAACCAGTGCAAAGTTCTACCTGAGATACAAAATTATCGTAGCATTATTTTAACCTTTTATCAGTAAAAATCTGAATAATATTTGTAGAAGTTGATTTTTTCATTTGTTAGAACCATAAAGAAGAAACATGTTTTGATGAGGCAAAAACATATCTATAAAGGTGTACTAAACAGATTTTCTAGGTTCAAATAATTAACTTGAGTGTCTGCAAGTGGTTTTTTAACTATTTAAGTTTGGCTACATAGTTGACAAAAATTTGAGGGAGAATACCAGAAATCCCTTCTCTATTATAATATAATAAAGGAAATGCAAAAGATTAATAAAATGTAAATGTTCAAATAGATCATAATGTAAAATCAACTTCTCTTCATCTTAACTATACTCATCAAAAGAATCTAAAAACATAATTCAGCAAGGTGATGCAAAGTAGATTTCAGAAGAGAATTAACAGCATCCTTAAAAACTCTGCAATGGCTATACTTGCATTTTATGAAAGGTACTAGGGGACAAATGGGATCCTGAAGCATCAGAAGCTAAAAGGCAGCCTATGATTACCAGGTACTTTACTGTAACAATCAACTGTGCCGATCAGTTATCAGAATGGTTTTATACAGTAATATTTCTGGAAGGCAGTTAACTGGATAATGGGATTCTTAGGAGTAAAAAACACTGCCAATTTCTGCAAATCTTATTTGAATAAAAGAAATAACTCTAAAATTAGTAAATAAGATCCAGATATTACCCACTATAATAGAGAAAGTAAAAACCCCTTCTTTAAACAGACATGGATTAGTTCATAGACTCAGAGGGAGAACACATTTAGATTTTTGAAGAAAGATTGTATGACAATGCCACAGGGATACTCTTTCTTTCATCATTTGCCAAAGATACTCAAGACCATTTCCAAGGATAGAGTATATGGAGAAAGAGTATAGAGTATATGGAGAAAGGGATGTACTGAGATGTTTCTACACTTACTTATTACAGTTACTTATTACTGACTCTGTATCATCATTAACCAATAAAAACATGGAATACTGCTAACTTTCATGGGTCAGAGAGAGAGAGAGAGAGAGCCTGTGGAGATCACACGCTAAATGAGATATTGGCCAATTTTCATCTCACAGTGGACCTAACATGTCCATGAACTCATCCCGTGTTTACTTTACCAAATCCTGAATCATAAAGTTACCAAACCAGTAAATCTCAAAATATGATGCATATTTTTGTTTAAAACAGTTTTTTTGAATATTAAAATTATTTATTTTATCATTACACACATTGAAGGAAATCATAACAGACAGCAGAATTCTATTCCACCATAAAATTATTTATACCCATTTATTTAGCTAGAAACATCAGCTTCAGAGGTACTGGTATATTCCATTTGTAATCATTTCTGTACAGCAAACAATTGTCTTATATTTGGAGCATGTTGAAGAAAATATTGTCTCATAAGTCTTTTTGTTTTTTGAGTCTCAATCACTAAGAATTCAAGGTACTTTGGGAGAATCCTGGTGTCCTGGATGGCCTGATGAATGCATTAAAATCAAGCAGTGTGTTTGCATTCTGAAAATACTCTTAAATCCATACAAATGTTGTTTGGGTTGTGGAGGTCAGATTTCTCCCACTGGCACTATAATATCTGAAGAGCATTTGTTATGAAAGTTTCACACCCACACCTACAAGTGTAAAGATTGAAGGAGGGAATGGGAATGTGGCAACACAACAAAATGCTTTGGAACAACTGGAACCTGACGATTTTAAGGATGTGACACCAACTATTAGGAAAACTCAGAAGATCATTATTAAGAAGAGAGAACCATTAAATTTTGGCATCCCAAATGGTAGCACAGGTTTCTCTAGTAGATTAGAAGCTACACAAGATCAGCCTTTCATTCATCAATCTTCTGAATTGGGTGACTTAGATACCTGGCAAGAAAACACCAATGCATGGGAAGAAGAAGAAGATGCAGCCTAGCAAGCAGAAGAAGTTCTGCGGCAGCAGAAAATAGCAGACAGAGAAAAGAGAGCAGCAGAACAACAAAGGAAGAAAATGGAAAAGGAAGCACAGCGGTTAATGAAGAAGGAACAAAACAAAATTCGTGTAAAATAGTTTTTTAAAATAATACTGAGATTTAACTTGTTTATTTTTAACTGGGTTGTCATTGGCACTGATGACACAAATGCAACGATGTGTAGATCTGCTGGAAATTTAGCACAAATCAAAACTGTAGGATGGATGGTACTAGCAAGTCATTGCATTCTTCCCCATCATGCTTTTGCAGTACACACTCACACACACACACACACACACAAATGGCAACTTTAACTAAGGATGGCCTAATACAGTAGTAAAAATTGTTAGTTTTATTAATTTTTCACCTTATGTGACAAAACTGAAAGTATGTAAAAAGTATTTTTGTTGCATATCAATGCTCAGTCATTGCCTAGGAGAAAAAGCATTTGTGCACCTGTTTCAGTTACAAGCTGAACTAGCTTTTTATTTCACTGAAAAAGATTTTTCGCTTGAATGAATTGCTGGCAGAAAAATGATAGTGGTTAAGATTTAGGCATTTGGCTGATATTTCTTTGAAAATAAGTGAAGTGAGTCTGTCTTTTCAAAAAATAAATTGAGTGCTTTTGTTGCCAAAGATACAATTCCAGCTTTCAAGTGGAAAATTAGAATTGTGTAAAGCTTGTATCTGCCACCATGAGCTTGACAGTTTCCCAATATTTAAAATCTTTTAAAATAAGATTTGTGATGGTATTTATGAATGAGATTTTTGATGTTGCATAATAAATTGTGTCAGAATTCAAATAATCTGCATAACACCCTGAATTAATGTTTTCCAAATGATCAATGCATAATGTTACAAAATCATGCAGGCATAAAGGATCCATTCAAAGTGCAGGTGGGCTAATGTAACAGAGTATGAAATTTATAGATAAGGTTTCAAGTTCTGCATTGCAACTAACCTTTAAGAAACTACCTCTTTTCAAGTTTTTTAAATAGTACCAAAGAAGAATAGCCACAATTATCAGAAAAGGCTATTAATGTACATCTCCCTTTTCTAGCTACATAACTGTATAAGACCAGATACTCTTCACATAGTTTAACCAAAACACTATGTAAATTATTAAGAGAATTTGACTTTATTAGTCCAGACATTAATGACACTTGCAAAATTGTAAAACAATGCCACCCTTCCCATTATTTTTGGCAATTATATTAATTTTTACAATAAAATTATGCATAAGTTGCTTGTAATTATTTATTGATGTTAATTTAAATGAATTAATAAATACACATTTGATAATTTTTCGTTTTTATCTCTAATACAATAAATATCAATAGATTTTACCCATATATATAAAGATTGTAGAAGCCCTCAATAATTTTTAGAGTGTAAAGTAATTCTAGACCAAAAATTTTAGGAATGATTTGACTAAGCAAATTCAGCAACAAAAGTTCTTAAGTGTCTTTCTATAAGAAATAGCCAATTAAAAATAATACGGCCAGCAAATCTTAACAGTTTTCCTTCAAAATATATATGGAGTGCAACTATTTCTTACCGTCACCATTGATACATCCCTGGTGCAAGCCTGTATTATCTCTCATCCATATTTTACAAAATGTTCCTGAATGATTTCCCTGAACTTAGTGTTTTTTGGTCAATTAATTGTGAAGTTAACAGTGGCCTGTTAAAATATATCAGATCATGTTCCAACTGCCCCAAATTTCCAGTTATTTTCTTTATGTTGGAATGGGATTCAAAGTTATGAGGTCAAGGAGGACTAAATATAAGATTAAAATGGGTAAAATTTATTATAACGTGTGTGCTGTTCTAGAAAGCAGGATTCAGTGTGTTGACTTTAGTTCCTGGAGTGGTCTTAATAGCCTGCTAGTTAATCGAAGCCTGAACTCAATATTGAACTACATTTAATGAGTTTGAAATAACTGAATTTTCTAGACCTAATATAGAGGAAAAAATCTTGGGTTGCTGGAAATGGGTTTCTTAGAATAAATCTATTATATGCAAAGTGCTTACTTAGCTAATCCTGTAGAGTCCTAAAGGATATTCCATTCTCCAGGCTAAGGGAGCACCAGCATCTTTGAAAACTTTCAGTGGTTCACCTTTGTAGGTCAGAGATGATATGTGGAATTCTGGGACGGAATTTCATTCCATCATCTCAGTAGAAATAATGTGATCTTGAAAGAGTAGAAGCTGATTTGTGTTGACTATGTGAGATCAGATGAGCACAATTATCCCCGTAAACCATAGGGTTAAAATAGTAGCAGAGTGCTATTTAATGAGGGATCCTCAATGAGGGCTAATTAATCACAGAAGGCCCAGAGATGAAATACTTTTATACTTGGTTCAGCTGCTGCTTGACATGTATCAGAGGAAAAATTTAAGGAACATAATTCGTGGTGGTGGGAATTCATGTCTTTAACATAGTTTCTATAATTAAGCTAGTTCCCAGACCTGGAATCCCTTGACTAAGTTGAAAGCTATATATTTTTAAGGAAAAACCCTGCTTCGTAGTCATATGTGTATTCCATAAATATTCCCTTGAGTATTCTCCACTTTCCAGGTAACTGTAGACCTAAGAAACATAAATGGCTATACTTTTCTTAGATAATAGCTTTCAGCATACATTGACCCTGAGATACCCCAAATACCACTGAGGTCCAAGAGTGACAATCGAGACTTGAAGAGGTCAGGGGTAAAATACTTAGGTCAAGTGCGTCTAATAGTACTTACAGTGGAATTACGGACCCGTTGATAGTTTCCAGACTTGTTATGTGAGGGCTCTTATGGTAGTAAAAGCTAAATGGAAACCCAGATAACCTACCCACCTCTAATTTAAACTAAAAGTAACACTAGCTCCTGAGAAAACTTCAAAGATTAATGCCATCATTAAAATTCTGAGAGATTAAGAGGTGTTGACTTCTATCTTAGCCCCTTTAATTTAATTACCCTTAAAAAGTCATTTGTGAGGTGGAGAATGACAATAAATTATGAGAACTATAATTACACGGTGATGCCAATCACCTACAACTCAAGATCTGTTATCTCTCTTAGAGTAAATCTACACATGCCTGAAGTATAGCTACCAATCCACTAGTAAGTGAAATCTGAAGCAGTTTGCATTTAAAGAATGAGCACGAACATTTATTATCTTACCTCTCTCAGTAACGTCATAGCTCAGAGGAAATGTATTAATCATGTTAGTTGTCTTAGATAAGAATCCTTGTAACTGTATGGCTGAGAGTCTTATTTTGTTCCCAGATGCACACCTGCCCTGTTTATAGGTCAAGCTAGAAATACTTTAGGGTCAGTACCCTAGAGAAGCATTCTTCAACCAAAGACATTCATAAAATCACATGAATACCACAACTTTTTTGTCCTTCACTTGTGATAACTCTGAGAAATATTCAAAATTGTCTTCAGACATTTCTGATCTGCATTGAGTTGCAGTTACATATTGTATAAACTCAATTGATAAAACCTCTTTCGTTGTCTCTTTTCCATTCTCTGACTTTTATTCGTTCTTCCACAAGTATTTTCTGAAATTATTCCCTAAAAAACTACTCAGACTCAAATCTTTTTCTCAGTGTCTGCTTCTGACCTATTTTAAACCAATATAGAAGTTTTCTCAATTATTGGAGGAGATTACTAGAAAGGAGAGTGTCAAAGAATTTAGAGGAAAGGGTATTGCTTAGGTCAACCATATAAACTTTGATGTCATTTAGGATGATTGCTAGAGCCAAGGTAAAGAAGAAACTGGTGAGTTAGATAGCAAAGTCTGGATGTTGTCATGTATAACCGTAAATAATAATGATGAAGACTTGTAATAGGTGTGAGTCTCAAAAGTCGGAATTATTCATTTGTTTTATAAAAGTGTAAATAAATGATGCCTTGGAGTTGGGGATAAATAGAATGCTACTCATTGTACCCATTCATTGCAAGAGTAAGAATAGTCTGAAATTAAGAACTGAAAAGGAAATGCTATCCTTAGAATAAGACAGGTTGTTTTATTTTTTTATTTTATTATTTATGTATTTATTTATTTTGTTGAGACAGAGTCTCACT